TGTTCTGGAAGGGATTTCTTCGTGCTAGCCACGTATTCCATGCCTCCAAATCATCTGCATCATCTGGCCATTTGGCTTGCATTGACTTTTCGACGCGAGCTGTGATGGTTTTTATGATCGTCTGCTGCTCTGCGGCGAGGTTGATGCTTCCCATAGAGGTGGACGCTGTACCGTATAGGGCTGGATCTGGATTCTCGGACTTGGTGAGTTCTCCTGACAGATATGCGTCCACCAATTCCCTTCGTGCGGCCAGCATGCTGAGGAAATTCTGTATCTCCAGATTCGCTCGAGCTTCATGTTCCATGTCGTTAGCTGGATTGGCTTGGTCTCGCCAGAAAGCAGGGCACTTCAGAAGGCACAGTCCGAGGTGTCGAAGACTTGTGGGCAGAAGTTCTGCATCTGCATGCCACAGTTCGTCTGTCTGTCGAAACGGGACGTTCAGAAGCAACCATTGCCCGAAGTATTTGTCGTTGGATCGAGCGTTTGTGATGGCCGCCACCAGGCTTTGCCCGTGGGCAGGCACGTGATTGATCCAGGTTTCCAAAGGGATCTGCACTTTCTGCGCGGCGTGCAGTCGTCGGAAACGTTGAGAAATCTGTCCTTGTGCTCCTGTCTTGCGCAGGAATTCGAGCAACGTCATGTTTTCCCTGCGCCAGCTGCAGTCCATGTAGGCACGTACGATTTGCGGCATCTCCCTCTGTTGCCACGGCAGCGGCACGATGAACTTTCGAACGAGTCCCGGACACAGAAATTGAGAGTGCTGCTGAGCGGCTAGCTGCATGATCATTTCAGGTTGGAGCGGATGATAATCTGCCAGGATGCGACGTGCCAAGGAGAAGTCGGTCGCGTGGTTGTTGAGCAACTCTTGGGCGAAGGAGCTGCTGAATTTTGGAAGATAGCCTTGCGTGCGCGATTGCATTACTGTTCGAACACGATCTTACTGTATTTGTGAGGCCTCACGCGGGAATCTTAGTCTCAGGGAATTGCTGCTTTGCAGATTGTGGCTAGCGAGAGTGACACTGTGCAACATCACACGCGCAGATTAGTGGCTGACGCAGTATTTCAGCACCATAGCACGGCCGTCGGATGCTAGCACATCGCAGTGACATCTCAAAGCTGCAAGCACGTCCGGCAAGTAGGCTCGACAGTTTTGAGCATGGGCTTTCTTCGGATGATACAATTGTATCGTTCCCGACTTGGTCACTTCGGTCGGCTCTTCGCGCACGGGCCAGCCGCTGGTTTGCCAATCCAGTTGCGAACCTGTCACAAGGTCTAGCATCTCTGCATCTGCTTCTTCTGGCAGGTGCGCATGGATTTTATTCGCGAAGTTCATGTTCTGTACGTCTCGAAGCCAGAGCAGTATGTGTGCGTGCGGTGTTCCGCGGCCGTGGTAGTGCTGTGCATCTCTGTGAACTCTGCGTTTGCGCTTTCCATCTTGAAATTCGAGTCTGGCCACCCAGTACACGACGCTTCCTTGCTCGGGTCCTGCCGCGAAGATTCCTTCGCTAGTGTCCGCCAGCAAGCTTTTCACGGCTTGCGTCAGGACGTGTGCAAGATGCAGCGTCTCGGATACAGGTAAGTGAAGACGCTCTTTGAGGCTCTTCGCAAGCTCATCCTGATGGGGTCTTATTCCAGGTTAATGATGGCGAACCTTTGAAAATTAGATGATCGATTATGTCGAGGTCGTTTTGACCGGTTGAAGTTATGGGCTTACGCGACATTACGCGGTCCTCCATCCAGGCATGATACGGGAAGGACCATTCGTAGGGGGCTATGGTGATGAAGAGACTAGGCCACCCGATTTGTCTTTGGAGGTCGACGAGGGCCGTGTGATAGGTGCGCCAGACTTCAGGCGAATAAGGCTTGTTTGCCAGCGCCTCCCTGATGCCCACGCCGGATGCGTTCTTGGCTCCACCGATGGTAGTGAAGAGCCACAGGTCGTACACGAATTGCAACAGCTGTGGATCAGAGTTGTAGCCGATCACGGCCGAGTGCACCTTAGCCAGGAAGCTAGCCTTGGCACTTTGCCTCGTTGCTGCCGGCTGCCACGCTGCATCTTCTTCTCGCATTTCCTCCTCTTCATCTGCATCCATGGTTTGCCGTCGGCGATTCAATCTCCTTGCATCCTGCAGCATTCCAGCCCTGCGGTCTCGATGAAGTTGGCTGGCATTCTCTTGACCGGGGCATCGGCCCAGATGTCTCCTCTCTCGATTGCACGTTCTCTGTGTCGCAAGAACTTCTGATGCATTCTCCAGAATTCGACGTAGGATGACGTGTCTGGGGTGCCATCTGAACCCTTTAAGTACCTCAATGCTTTCTCTCCCCGACGACGCTCTTTTCTTGGAAGACGTGTTAGGGCCTCTTCGACCGAAATTGGCTTGAAGGAGAACTGCATCATGTCCGCATGAATGAGGTAGCCGTGGGGGGCACGGAACGGCTTCTTGAAGGTCGGATGAATCTGCAAAGGCCTCAGAGCTTCGATAGTTTGCGCCGACAGCTTTCGCAGTCTTCGAGGTACATCTTCCGGCGTAGGAGCCCAGTACCCCTGTGCGGCATTGGACTTGCAGTGACTGCATGCTTTGATCTGCGGGTCGCCCTTTGCGGTGCCTTTGGCATGGCTTCTGCGATAGTCTGTCGGCACCATGCGGCTGCATACCGAGCACATCTGCCACGAATCCCAGAGGCACCACTTTCGAAAGGCCGCACTTCGAGGGGGTATCCACTCGGAGTCTTCGCGAGCTTCTTTTGCATACACAGATGGGAACTTTCGCTTCAATCGGTCCTGTTGTCTTCTCTGTATGTCTTGAAGAATGGCTTCGGCTTCGTTGTTTTTTCTGTGCACCTGAGGTTTTCTTGTCTGCAAGACTTCTGCCCAGGACGCATGCTCCTTCTTGGCCTTCTTCTTGCAGCGCTTTTTCCGGTCCAGTTTTGCGATGACCTCTTGACCATGTATATCACGAATAACTTCTTGTGCACGGTTGTAGACGATCACGTTTCTTTTTTCAGTCTATTGAGTGCTCTTTGCACGGCTTGCCCGCCGCGGTCCTTCATTGCGGCTCGGAAAGCATCTTTGCTGCAGAACATGCAATGGTCAAACGCGGTGCCCGTGGTCGAGCATACATAGGGCTTCCCGCGAGCTCTCACTAGACATGCCGAAGGTGCACTCCTCGTTGGCGCACTGCAGCGCTGCGGATCTCCCCGAAGTACTGCAGGTCTACCCAATTGACGGCTCCCGTGGGTCTTTCGTAAGGTCTCGGCTGCGCATAGGCTTCTACATCGGTAACCGTCCACGCATAGATGTTCTTGTAGCGCACCAAGCTCAGGTTCTCGATTTGGTGCTTGTCCGGATTCGCCTCGAGTTCCTGTCTGGTGATGAGACGGCTTTCCGATATGACCATCTCACCCACCAACATGCCTGAACCCGATTCTGCTATGCAGATGCGCTCCGTGAGATGTTTGGCGCATTTCTGGCCACGAATTTCCCACGTCTTGTTCTCGTGCAAGATTTTGTGGCAATACTCGGGCAGCACCGTGAGAGCATACCGAGGGGATTCCTTTGTGTGTCTCTTTGCAAACGGATTTTCCAGCAATCTGATCTGCTTATCCATCTCCTCCGGCCCGAGTGAGTCGTGGATTTCTTGTATCTTCTGCAAGAACAAATTTGGGTCTCTCCAAGATAGGTCGAAGAGACCTTTCGTGACTTCTTGCTGCGACCGTATTGGGGTTCCTAGTTGAAGCAATCGACGTCAACTGAATGCATGAACGCGTAAATCGAATTTACATTGGTTTGCTTGCTTGTGTCTGAAGCCTCCGGTCATGGCTAGCCCGTTTTTTGTTTTTCGTGTGGAACGAGGTAAAGCGTGTCGCTACTTCTGAGAAAACGCAGGAAATGATGGTAGTATGTATCGTTCTATTTCGAATATTTTTGTGGCTAGACAGTATACGGTGCTACGCATGTCATTGTGTTCGAGTTACGCTTCATAATGGGACACGTTCTATCAACTGTCACACTGACAGAAGATCTCAGCTTCGCGCCATGCGGCATCTTCGTCCGTGTCTTCTATGATTGGCACGCATTCCGCAGGCCTCGCAAGTTTATGCTGGCATCCTATTCATGTTTGAAGAACTTTAAAAACATGCTGATGTTATTTGCGGCTCTAGCAAGACCGTTCTTCTGACCACGCCGCATCTTCTGTGTCATGCGCAAAATGTATTCCTGCCGGAGGTACCCTGCAGGCTTGCAGCGTCGACAATTTTGCTGGACGCCACGAGTGTGAAGGAATTAGGTTTACGTCTCAGGTCGCGGCGGCACCGGCAATGGAGCCAGTATTTCTTCGATACCCCTCATTTGATGTTGTGAAGCCAGGTGACATAAGTGGTCCAATTCTAAGGTCCGCGCCATGCAGCTTCCCTGCGACGTTTCTTCTTCCTTTTGCTGGTGCTGCTTTTGATCGTACATGGCGCACTGAGGTTCGCACCATGCGTGCTTCCGAATGGACTCTGCCATGGTTCCACCTGACGAGGCACGAAACCTACGTCGTTTGCAATTTGCATATGCGCATTTTTGTTTGCTTTACACATATATATATACATGTAGACACTCTTATATACATGTGTGTATATACGTGTATATATATATATACATATACATATGCAGAGTCCTCTAGGCGTTCAGTCTGAGTTGCAAACCTTCTCTGTCTTCCCTGTTGATACTGTTACAGGCTTTGAGGTTGCACAGCTGCGGAAAAAACATGTGATCCGTGCATGGCGTATGTTTTGGATTAAGAAAAAAGAACAATGTTTGCATCTTCGTCAACTCTTTTTGAATTGCTGATATGGTATAATCGGTAGCTGCATGGTTCTGTGCGGGGTCTTAGTGCCCGCACCGCACAGGCCACACACTTCTTAAAAGCTGATCAATCCGGTTCAGGAATCGGTCGCCTTCTCTTTGCTAGCTGGGTCCTCAGCAATTCGTCATAATTGTGTGCATTGAACTGTTGCCCGGTGTCCTCGGTGGTGTTGTTGTCGGCCGATTCGATGGGACTGTCCTGCATGTCTTGAGATTTGCACGTATATCATTGCATGAAAGCTTAGAAATCCATCTCCTGCTGAGTGGCTTTCAGGTCTTCGACTCCCCGCGGTCTGTATTCGGACATCTTTTTCTGCTTCGAGCCTTTGTCTTTGCTGTACTTGCCGCGCGGCTTGCGTTTCGGTCTCGAGGGATTGCGCCGGTGCAGCACTCGCCTCAGGCGTGCGCGGTAGTCCACGCTCATGGCCTCTCCTCCGTGGATCGCGATGCTTCGAAGGGCCTCTTGCCGATCGTTCGGTTGCAGCAGCGACAGGTAGTGAGTCTCCATGTCATCTTTTCGAACCTCTCTGCGCTGCAGAAGACGCATCTGCTGTCCGATTTGGAGGCCGCTCCGGGCTTGCCGCTTCCGTCCAGCGCCAAGGTGCATTTTGCGCCGTGGATGCCTTGGCACGCTTTGATGGTCACCGGGTGCTTCCAAAAGTGTTGCGCCCTCTCCGTGCGCGCTGCTCGGCGCGGTTTGCAGGGAGGCGCATCGTCCGTCTTGGTCCACGCGGGAATGGCTTCTGTACCCGCGTACTTTAGCTGGTTCCGGGGAGAAGCTTCTGTCTGACACGCTTTGCTTTTTTTGCTGGGCTTGGAAGGCCTGGATGGTTCTTTCTTGCTTGGTTCCGGGTCGGGCGTCTGCTGGTAGTTGACTTCTTCTTTCTCCGGAGTCTTGGGCTTGCGAGTCTCTGATGTCGAAGGGCTGGGCGATGACGAAGATGAACTCCTGTCGACGAGATACTTTTGTGGCTGTCCTTATGGATTTGTTGCGCCTGGCTTTGCCGGCCCTCGCCAGGACAGGCAGCGTGATCAGCGCCACCAGCAGGAACTGTCGCATGCCGCAGGCTCGCCTCTCGGGGACTTGCGCGGGATGTACGAGCAGTGTATGTGCAGCTTCGTTCTGCCTCAGTCTCTCGACTTTGCTATTTGTAGACTCGGAGCCCAATGCTGTTGCAAGATAGTTAAACGCTCGCTCATGTCGTGCATGCACTCTAGCATGATCTCGGAATAGCTGTCAGTTTTCACGCGTGTCGCAGACTTCTGCCACGGGGTTCTTGCCCTCGCCGTGCTCTCTGCACCGTGGCATGCCGCGGGGGCTTAGCCCGCACCGCGTGCATGCTCTTGATTTGAAGGCATAAACATCTCATCCGAATTATCTGTGGGATGATACAGGCAGTGAGCTTTGTTTTTTTTCGCAGGTATGTAATGCACGGGCGGGTGTCTGTCGCCGAAGAGGCCTTACCTACTTGAGATGTTTTGAGGGCTACGTTCATGTTGCATACAAACATGTCGGTTCTCGCCAATCGCTATGAATACACGACGAGTATACCGGCAGCTTTGTCACTTGTCCACGCGGTGCTCTCCTTTGTGGTCGCCATCGGAGCCTTCCGGCGCGGAGCTGGTGCTGGACTCGTCGTTGTTCTTGCTTGCCTCGGTTTTGGGTTTCTTGACATTCTCATCGGGTTTGATGTCCTCCATCTTCGTCGGCTTTTCCTCCTTTGGCTTTTCCTCCGTCGGCTTGTCCTTTTTCTCCTGAAGCGTTATTGTACTTGCTAGCTAGTTACGGGAGGTCTAATATGTTAGTTTGCGAGAAATGATTTTAATGACGCGGCGCGGGCCTTGCGAGGGGATCTGCTTGCCTTCTCGGCCTTCTTGTCCTTGCGTTCCTTCTTGGACTTCTTCTTTTCCTTCTTTGCTTTCTTCGCGCGCTTGCGCTTCTTTTCCGAGGAATCGCTGGAGCTGGAAGACGATGAGGATCTGGCCCGCTTCTTGGAGGAATCCGTCTTGGACGCGCCCGGAATTCCCCATGCATCTGGGTCCTCGTCGTCGCTGTCGCCACCGAGGCCGCTTTGTCTGTGCCAAGCCGCGCTGTCTGCGCGCCTCTGTTCCATTGCTGCCACCAGGAAGGTCTTCAGCTTTTCCACGTCCTTGGGCGTTCTTTGCCACTCTGCGAGGGACGCTTGGTTGGCCGATGTGGCCGGGACCTTGTTTGCCCAGTTCGTGAGAGCGTTTGCCATGGTCACCGCCTCCAACGCCTGCATGCTGCCGAGGTAGAGGGCACTGGCGAAGATGACGATGTCAGGCAACGTTCCGGTGAGGTACGACTTGTTCTCTCGAAACCACCGCAACCAGGTGTTAACCGCTTGCGCGAGCTTGTCGGCTTGCACGTTGCCGGTGCGTTCCTTGGTGAGGAGCTCGCATGCCTCCATGAAGTTGTGACCTTTGGCATCGTTGAGCATGTCTGCCAGCTTGGTCAGCTTTTCCGTGGCGGAGCCTTCTGACGACGCATCGCTCGGCACGCTTTCCAGACATGTCTTGAGCATGCGCATGGAGCTTGAAATCGTGCTGAGTCCAACTGCGGGGCGTCGCACCATTTCCGAGTTCATGGAAGTCAATCCCTGTCTGAGCTGGTCCTTGTCGAAGGTGTTCTTGATCGTTCTGGTCGGTCCCGTGTAGATGGCGTTCCCGTTCTCGTCGGCATAGGCGCGGAGGATTGCTTTGGGAAAGGCGTAGCGGCCTGCCAATCTGGTGACGTACTCCTTTGTCTTGCCCTTCCCCTTCTGTTCCTGATCCGGTTGAGTCCAGCTTGTTTGCGTCCACTCTTGGGCCTCGTAGCCGGGCCCGAAGTTCGCGGAATCTTTGCTTTTGCTCCACCCCTTGCTGGCACCCTCCGTCCATCCTTTGCCTCCCCAGCCTTTGTACTGGCTTCCATCCGCGGCGGTGGGCCACGACGACTCCCATGCAGTCGTGCGGCCTTTGCCTTTGCCCTTGGCGTTGTAGCCCGATGAGTTGCCCCACATGGCCTCTGGCGATGTTGCGCAGGTCCGAACTGACGTGGGCGGCTGTTATGA